AAATAAAGGGAAGATAAACGTGTTAAGAAAAAGATTCTAGTATCAGAACTAAAGCATTTAAATATTATGTTTTCTTTGTTCTTCCAGACCTTCTCCAAAAAGTAAGAAATACATCGTAAACTTTCTGCAAAATACATTTGTTACGTGTTAATAGCATGGAGACATTTTTCTGTAATTTTCTAGAATCTTGGGTCTATAAATTTTGCCTTCAAATCCTTCTAAACTTTCTAAGCTGCAATGTCTAAAATCCTAAAGAAAAATTCTGTAACAGTAAAAAGCCAGAAATATTTTGAGAAAAAATATCAGAGGGAAAAGGTGTAAAATTAATTTTATAGAGAAAACTGAATACTCTGAGACAATTACATTGGAAAAATTCTTACCATGAAAAAATTTAAAAAGATATTTTAAATTATTTACATAGCTATTTTGCTTTTGCTAAAACTGTTTCGTTAATTGTTTCGTATACCTTGCTTAGTTTGCAGATTCAAAATATTGTATAATAAGTGGCCAAAATGGAACTTTATAATATGACAGCAAAAATTAAAAACGCTTTATTTTAATGTTATTTTTTAAACATAATTTCAATATTTTACCACTATTTTAATGAAAATTATCCATGTTACAATGTTTTAAAAAAATGTTGAAAAATTCCCAGATCTCGAAATTAAAAATTTTCTACAGAAACTGATCTTAAAATCGCCAAATAGCTGATAAGTCGCCGAATTCAGAGCCGTTTAATAAAAGAATTCACATCCCGAAAACCCAAAAGTTGTTTGAGAGCTCTTCATTAGAAAAAATGAAATCATTTCAAAATGCTTATGCTGCACTTCTTTTACTATAAAATTCGAAAATCCCACGATTTATGTTAGAAATAGAAACGAATTATAACCCATTCAAAAGATAACCATATCTGTCAGTTGAATTACCAAAAATATTCCTCCAAAATGGCAGTCGTAAAAAACAGACAGCTATTTCCGATAATTAAAATTAAGGACCTTCTGCCGATTTTGGCCGAAATCAAGGACTTTTAAGGACCAAAAATCGATTCCAAAATACTTAAGGACTCTTAAGGACCGTACGAAACCTGGATCTTCTACACTGGTGTGCAAAACTTGAGCAACAATATAAATTTTAATCAGATAGCCATGAAATTGCAAAGAGGTGCTTGTGATCAGTGCAATAAACACACAATTCAGTAGAAAAGTCATGTGTGTGTAAATCGCAGGAACATAGCGTCACAAGCGACATGAAGGTACACAAAACACGTGCGGTCGGTGCACTCAGCTCAAGACTACAATAAAAGGAAGAACAGAGACGCAAATAAAGACATTCGCTGCAAGTGAGTTCTTTCACGAAATATGGCTGGAAGAAATCACCTAATGATCAGAAAGCTGGAGGAGGGCCATGGTGTGGCCAGTGTAGCTAAAGAGTTTAAAATCACCAAAAGTGTCGTTTTGTGCGCTTGGAAATCCTTCCAAACCATAAGTACAGGTGTTAGAAAGGTTGGTGGTGTGGTGGTCCCAGGAAAACATTTCTGAGGGTGATCGATACATAGTCCTGCAGACGAAAAGAGCCCAAAACCAGTCAGCAAGCACCATAGCTCACAACTGTGTACAGTAACGGGGCGATAAGTGTTGCGGTTTACTGTGTTCAGATGTCTTCGCAAAAGGTGGCCTATTCACCCGCCATCTTGAACGCTGCCCATTCCCTTAAAATTTGGCCATCAGCAACACCATTTAGAGTGGTGCAAGGAGCACAAAAACTGGACATCTCATCAATGGAGTTGTATCCTCTTTACGGATGAGACGTTGTTTTAGTGCCACAAACGTTTCTCAATGCCAGTTGATATGGAGAGAGGTCGTGACACGGTTTCGTCCCAGTAACATCACAGAAAATGACCATTACGGTGGTCCTGGAGTTCCTGTCTGGGGATGCATTATGCTGAACAAGCAGACAGAGCTTCACATGTTTGACAGAGGTTCTGTAACCAGAGATCGCTATTGTCAGGAGGTGATCCTTCCCCATGTTCGTCTGTTCCGAAGTGCCATTGGAGCAGACTTTGTTTTTATGGATGACAATGCACGGCCACATTGAACTGCTGCTGTTCAGAAGATACTAGAAGGTGAAGATATCACTTGAATGGAATGGCCAGCATACTCCCCTGATTTAAATCCCATAGAACATGTGTGGAAGACACCTTGCGGCACGATTACATTCTCCGAGAAACACCCAACAACTGAAACAGATGCTGATTACGGAATGGGCACTCTTACCTCAAGATCTGTTGGACAATCTGGTGCTGAGTATGAAGAGACGGTGCGAAGCAACCACTGCAGTAAGGGGAGGGCAAATCCCATACGAAGGAAAATCTGCTTGTTGTTCTTCCTCTTGTACAGGAAATCATGTGTAACAATATTATGAGTTCAATAAAGTCTAAAGTAAATTTGTTTGATTCCATAATGTATGCTTTGTATTTATTTTTGCACAACTATGCTTTCATCATTGTTTAAATACAAAATGATGTCTCTCATTTCTGAATTTCATATCTCTCAGATGATTTCTTGTGGAGTTACAGCAAAAAGAACACCTGTTGCTTAAGTTTTGCATACCAGAATAATTCATCCAGTCTCTTACTTAAAATTATCACAAATACACACCATTTCACATATAACCTTTGAATGTGCAGTAATTCAGCACACTAATGACAGTTTTGATTATCTAAGGTTATTTACTTTTACTACATTTGAAAATCTGTTCTTTATTTAAAAACTTTTTCTCTAATTTAAATATGTGCATATAATACATAAATACATGTGTCTAACAAATCTTGTGTAGCATTATTCATTTTTATAGTCTAAGTGGGCAATTTGCCCAGGAGTATTAATTTTGTTTTGGCTCTTTGCATTGATTCACTATAAACGTTGATTCACTTTCCAAATTGTTGCCACCAAATACTAGAACCTTGTAATATATTTAAAGAAATTAAATAATGAAGAATCTGCATAAATGTATACGTATGTGTTTCTTGCACTGTGATAAAACAATGGTAGCTAGAGCCATCAAATTTTGAAAAATGTACGTTTTCACCCGAATATGGGCATCTGGAAGCCCAAATTTGGAATTTGTTTTATTATCCATTTTATATTTTGTAAAAGTTTAACGAATTTTTGATTAACAAATACACCGATTTCAAAGCGAGCAATGGCAACACTGTACGGGGGAAAACATTTTTATCTCTAATGCGCGAGACTATGTATTGGAAATTCTAAGATATGGTCATTTTATAATTATTTTACGATATTGCAGTTGAACAAAATTTTACGGTTTAAGTGTGAAGAACATGATATTTAATAAACAAAGGTGCACACAAAACATTTAAAAAAATGCCCTTTTAGGCGTAATGTAAAATATGAAATCTTTCAGATTTTATTAAAGTAATTATAAACCTGAACAAACTTTTTCTCTTCCCGCAATACTGTGAAAAAGGAATCACATCTGGTTGAAATGAAAATTTTCTTAATAAAATTAGGAAAAAAAAAAAAACACGAAAGTAGTACTTTTAGTGCAGGTAGTAATCACCACCCAAATCTATGAATTTCTGGCAATGTTTTAAAAGTTTTCCAAACCCCTCGGCCCAGAAACTAGGTGGCCGCAAATTCAAAAACAGATCGACTTCATTTCAGGTGTACTGTGCGGAATGAAAGATAGCACCAGCAAGATGTAGCTGCAAAAGTGACAAAAGGTAGAAGTCGAAAGAAGCTATGTTCGGGCTATATGGTGGGTGTGGCAAAAGATCCTCTTCAAGTCCATACAGAGTCAACTGGTGAATGCAGACACATGTGGTCTTGCATTATCTTGATGGAACGTTACCTTTTAGTGTCAGAACTCGGTTCAACATTTTTTCCTTGATAGCAGCATTAAGAGGGACTAGCATCTCGCTGTAGACCTTACTGTGAAGGGTTTTACCTTTTTCTGGACACTCTCTGTTGATAATACTACAGCAATAATCCCACCAGCACAAATCATATTTTGCTAGTCAAATTGCACTTTGTGATGCTGTTGACAGCCTCACAAGGTGCAGACCAACCCCTTTTCAGCCTGTGTTTGATGTAAATCCACTTTTCATCACAAGTGATGACCCGGTCCAGAATTTTGTCCTTGTGTTCATATTCGAGCAGATTAGCGCATTACATCTGTACTTATCTGCTTGAGTCAGCTCATGTGGCACTTGGTGATTGAACTTATATGTCAAGTTTATGCGATGAATAGCATGATTAATGGACATAGCACTAACGTCTAACCCTTTAGCAGGCTCTCGAGTGGCTGCATACTGAACTTCTTTCACACGTTCTCGCAGGCAGGCTTCATCAACATCAGTAGGTCGGCCAGAGTGCTCTGTTTGTTGAATGTCATAGTCCTTGTTTTTGAACTTTTGGGACCAAACCTTCACAGTGTCATATGATACAACATTAGTACCTAATCCTGTACACATGATTTGGTGACTATCTGTAGCTGACATTTTGCAACAGAATTGGAAGTAAATGATGGTTGTAATCTGCTAGCATGATAGTTCCATTCGTTAAAAACCAAATATTACTTTTATTATTTGGCTTAGACTAACCAAAAGTTTAAATACCAGTTCAATAAATTATTTACGCACTTGACATTACTTATTTTGGCATTAAAATGTACCTGTAAGTCAGTACATCATACAGTATGAATCAGTCACTAATTTGCATTTGATCTTAAATTTATTAATTTTAATAACAATAGAGAGGAAATGAATAAATATAAATCAAATCACTAATAGAATTTGTTATCCTCTTCATTATGATATATTCTATTGCACAAATCAAATTTTTATGACAAACCAACCTAAAAAAGAAATTTAAATAATGCATGAAGTCCCAGTGCTGACTATCGTATTCATATCAGACAGAGTCATGCAATTTTTATTTCAAAAATATTGACTCTAAATATTCTATTTCAGTGATACTCACTTGTAAAAATGGTGGCAGTGTACTGCCAGATGTATAACCCAATAATGGATGAATCACTTCTAATATCTGGAAAAACTGACAGAAGCTAAATGCAGAATGGACAACTGAGTACGCTTTCTCCATGAATGCTAAATAAAGAATAAAATGTTTAATAATGCCAAGTGTAGACACTAAGCATTCATAAAAATGCATTAAAAGAAACAGAAAATGCTTCAAAATGCTTTAAAGAATTTTTTACAAATTTTCCCTTACACTGAAATGTTAAAATATTAAACACATGAAAAAGAAAGAATTATACGATTACCTGGACCCTCTTTTGCATAATGAATGTTCAGCACAATTAAAACATACAAGTAGCCAATAAACTGGAACAGATTGTACAGAAATAAATATATCTTCCTGAAGTCCTGAACTAAAAATAATAAAATTTAAAAGGGAATAAAAATAATGGATTGTATGTAACATACATATTAAAATAAACTGCTATATGTTAAAAGTTAATCTTATAATGAAAAGAAATAATCTTACCCCTTTTTTGATACCTTTTCCTTCGATGATTAATTCTTGATAATGTTTGTTCAGGACTATAATGGGCCTAAAATGATTTATTTATATACAAAATAAAATCTCTTCAAATTAAATTAGATATTCATCAAACTTAAGCTTAGCATAGCAGGCAGGAAATAAGCACTAACCACTTAAAAAGGTTTTCAATATAATATTTTGATGTTAAAAGCTATAAGACATCTAATTATTGGGTCATATAAAAAGTTTCTGTGCTTTTTTGCCACTACATGGTGTTGATGCCTATATATCCGGCAACACTCACCCAATTGTCTCAAACGAACATATGCTTAAAAGGTGATATTCAGCTTCCATTGTTTGTGAAGATAGTTTTTTAATTCATTGCTCGTGTAAAAAGTTATATGAATTTGAAACTGAGTGAAATATCTGAAGAAATATGCTGTGTGATGGTTTTTTACTATAAAAAAGGTAAAAACGCTACAAAAACATGCAGAAAAATTTGTGAAGTGTATGGTGAGAATGTTGTGAGTAAATGACGGACCCAGGAGTGGTTTGCTCGATTCTGTTGCGGAAATTTCGATGTCAAAGATGCACCTTGCTCTGGTCAGCCAGTCATACAAAAAGTCGATAAAATTTTGCAACTGGTAGAGCAAGACTGGCACACAAGCTGTCAGCTAGATGTTAGGGTGCTACAACGCAAAGAAATTTGATTGACCGAATTGCCATCAGTGAAATGGTGCTGAAAGGCAACAAAATCGAACCATTTTTGGAGCGAATTATTATAGGCAATGAAAAATGGAAGAAATACGAGAATATCAAACGCAAGCGATCATGGTCAAAGGCCAGTGACCTTCCACAAACGACTTCAAAGCCTGGATTGTCATTAAATAAGGTTATCTTGAGTGTTTGGTGGTATTGGAAAGGAATTGTCCATTATAAGCTGCTGCAACTTGGCGAAACCATCAATTTGGCCCTGTACTGTGCACAACGTGACTGTTTGAACGAAGCAAACCAGAAAGAGCGACCAGAATTGGCCAACAGAAAGGATGTTGTGCTCCATCATGACAATGCACGACCACACACATCTTTGATGACTCGGAACAAATTGACGGAGCTTGGTTGTTAAGTTTTAATGCATCCGCCGTATAGCCCGGACCTTGCTCTGTTTGACTACCATTTGTTTCAGTCTCTGCAAAACTCTCTTGATGGTGAAAAACTGGCCGACCGAAGCACTGCTGAAAATCACTTGACCAAGTTTTTTGACGATAAACCACAGAAGTTCTATACCGATGGAATCATGAAACTACCCAAAAAATGGCAAAAGGTCAGATAATAATGGTCAATAAGTACTTGATTAAAACTGATTTTCAGTAAAGAAAATTTTTGTTCAAATGTGTACTAAAAAAGCACGCAGAATTTTTAAGTGACCCAATAAAACTAGAGACAAGTATTACTATAAATAAACCATTTGTATTAATTCACCAAAGGTAATTTTCATAGTTTCTATTCCTTCCACCCATAATTTTTTCACACTAATTAAATACTTTATTTCTTGGAAAGTAAACATACTTCTTACTTCCCTTTATACCAAAGAAAAACTGACTGTTCAAAACGCTTGATCAAATGATATAGTACTTATATATCAGGCTGTTGATTGAGAAAGCTGGCTATACACAATAAGTACTTAATCAGCTTCATTTTTATGCTATGTAGAGGCTTTCAACGATTTCTACTATTTTGTTAGACCCTCCAATTTTATTGAAAACTCTGTTTAGAACACTAGAATACAAACTTCCTGCAGGTAATTAATTGTTTTGAATCTATCATTGTTTTGTTGTCCATATTAAGCCGACCATATCATGTCCATTAATACCCACTTTTTTTAATGATAGTATCCTGTAACTTTGAAAATAATTCACTGCTTGCTATTCTGTAACAGGCATATCTCAAATCTTTTTTTCCCCAAAAACTGCAAGTGGGGAATGCATCTATAACAGTTAATTTAGATCCTTGTTCATAAAAAAAAAGCATACCTTATCAAGAATCAATCAGAATTACATCCAAACAGAAGCACAGCTATTACTAGTTTGTTGCTACATCATGCATATTCCATGCAGGTGCTAAATTGTGCTGTTTGGCAATAATTTCATGATCGATAGGATAATAGGTAAATACCAATATTATTTAATAAGCAGTAATATTTAGTCAATTGAGTTCCACACAATAAATACTCAAAAACTTTTGAAATATGGAATAGAGGAAAAGAAAATATATTATTTCCATTTATTATTAAAAAAATATTTAAGATTATTTTTTAAAAAGACTAAAAAAGCAAAACTGAAAGTATATTCTTCTTAGATAAAGTTAGCTAGCAATAAGGGAAAAAAATCACATATCCATGCTGGTGCTAAATTGTGCTGCTTGGCAATACTTTTATGATCGATAGGATAATAGGTAAATACCAGTATTATTTAATAAGCAGTAATATTTAGTCAATTGAGTTCCACACAATAAATACTCAAAAACTTTTGAAATACAGAATAGAGAAAAAAGAAAATATATTATTTCCATTTATTATTAAAAAAATATAAGATTATTTTTTAAAAAGACTAGAAAAGCAAAACTGAAAGTACATTTGTTGGGATACATGATACTTCCGCCTATGCGTGCGCATAACGATTGGAATGATTACGTAAGTTTTTTTACCGCGCGCGCGCTCAACAATTTATGATGCAATCAGTGTTCTATTTTTAGTTTAGTTTGTTTATGAATGCCTTAGGAAATGGATGTGTAGTTTTTGATATCTTGTAATAACTTCTCTTTTATAACTAATGTAAAGATAACCTCTCTTTTATAACTTGTGTAGAGATTTAAAAACCTGAACCTGTGCGTATTTTTTGGATATACCTGAATGAAGAACCTGATGATTCAGGTAAGTGCTATTTTGCTTATCTACTGTTGGAATGCTTTATGAATTAATATTATCTATTGAATTGACGTAACATTAATTTGGCATCCCGTGCCGAGACGAAAGCGAATTAATTGAAGATTGTGATTAATGAATTTATGTATTTTGAATTTAAAAAGCACTTACTGAATTCTTTAAGATTTTATATGTTTGATTCAGTAAACATGTCAGTAGAAGATATTACTAAAGAAAAAGAGAGGTGGTTTGAGAATGTCCATTACCAGAATTCTTAAGAAAATAGAATTTTAACTAGATAAGTCTTCTGTTAATATAAATTTGTTAGAAGAAGACTTAAAATTCTTGAACGATAAGTTCAGCTGATTCTGAAATCGAAAGTACTTTGAAACCAGAAGAATTCGATGAAGAGATTCAAACTACAGAAGAATATTGCGAAAGAATTCTGTTCTGTTCTGTTGCTGAATTGAGAGCGAAAAAATGGATTCACTTGTCAAACCAAAACTTTACTGTTATTGATACAAATCTATCTAATTCCAAATAGTAATGATTCATTGAAACGGAAGTTTAAGCTTCTAAAATGAATTTAAGTTATCGGGGTGATTTCAAAATGGTTGCCATTTTGGGCACAATTTGAGAAGATACACAAATAATGAAATCGCGAAGGACGATAAATATCAGTATTTTTACAGTTCCGCCTATGCGTGCTACATTAAAGGTTCAGTGTGCGAGAACTTGTTGAACATTCCGCCGAGCGAGTCATGAAGACGTAAATGATGTTTAAGGCAAGATCTGCGAACTACATGTTAATCGAAATGTATATTAGAGAAGTTCTTTCATTGATGATGAATAATGCAATCGGTAAAGGCCCTAAAATGCCTCTTTTTAAACTTTACAATAAGATTGAAACTTATTTAAGGTGTTTAAATATTTTAGGTGTTTCCAGCACAAATTATTCTTCAATATTGTATTTGTTGATTGAATCTTGTTTGCCTGTCAGCATATTGAGAGTTTAGGAAAGACATTTGAATTCCATATCCCTAGCATCTAAAGAAGAAACTGTTGATAAGTTAGATAACTTGATGAAATTGTTATGTCATGAGAGTGAAAGCGAAGAGAAAGTGCATCTAGCACGGACCAGATTTAACTGTGAAATCGAAAGAATAACTATTTCACCCGCGTCAGCATGATGAGAAAGATTTACTCCAGCTGCAGAGTTATGTAACTCTTCGGATATTAAAAAGGAAAGTTGTGTACTTTATAACAAAGCACATATGAGTAGCCAGTGTAGGTGTGCTGATAATTTGCCTTATGAAGAGAAAAAGCAAATGTTGTTGATAAGGGGCGCTTATTTCAGATGTTTAGCAGTAAGAAAGCATATTTCTCGATTTTGTAAAAGGAAAGTACCACCATGCGAGATTTGCAATAAGAGTCATTTTAAATTAATGTGTACTGAAAAATGTAATCCCGAAAATTCATACTAATCGCTCCAGGTTGAGGAGAAACAAATCAAAAGTAAGGGCTTCGCTCTATCTAACAAAACAGCTACTCTTAAAATTCTTTTGCAAACACTTATTGTTCGTCTTAGGAATAAGAATAAAACGAAATACATACGGGTACTAATTGACTCGGGCAGCAGTAAATCTTACTTGTCAAATTTTGCAATAATGGAAATAAGATAGGAATGTATTGGTGAAGAAATTTTAACGCATAGTTTGTTCGGCGGTATAGAAACTACGGAAACACATAAGAGATATTTGATTCGCATTAGTGACTTTTCAGATAATTATCAATGTAATTTCAAGGTGTTGAATCAAGAAAAAATTTGTTCTGAAGTCCCAAAAATACCACGTGGTAAATTTATGATTGAAATTAAGAAATATAAAATTTTCCTGTCTGATTTGAATGATAAAGTAGCTATGTTGTATCAATTCTTTCCCGACGAGATTCATAGACTTGCAGGTGCTGATATCGCAGGTAAACCGTATACCAGAAACATAAAACAGTTAGACTCAAGTCTAGTCTTGATGGAAACGCGGCTTGGATGGACACTAATCGGTAAGAGCTTGAGATGGTAGCTGAAGAACATTTTAACAGAAGTGTAAAATTAGATGTTGATGGAAGGTGCGTTGTAAGTCTCCCGTGGATACAAGGCCATCCTCTTTTGCCCACTTATAAAAATGTTGCAGAACGGAAGGCTAAAGGGCTTGCGTTGAATCACTGAAGAAGAAATGGAAACTTAGAAGCATACGAAGAAGTGTTTAGAGTGTGCCTTCAAGAAGGCATTATTTGAAGAAGTTAAGAATTCCTGTAATGAAGAAAGTGAACACCTTCTTACCTCACAGGGCTGTAGTGAAAAGAAAATTCCACTACAATGAGTGAGAACCGGTTTTTGATGGATTGGCCAGAGAAAAGAACTCACCTTCTATCAACGACTGCCTGGAAAAGGGCCCTCATACACCGTTGAGCAAGCTCATTCCCAACCATCATGAATCGATTTAGATTAAAGAAAATAGGCGTTGTTGCAGACATTTGTAGAGCCTTCCTACAAATTGGACTGAGTGAGAGTGATCGGCCATATCTAAAGTTTTTATGGTGGGACGGTTGGGTGATTCTGCCAAACCTAAAGTTTTCCAGCATAGACAGGGTTGTGTTCGGAACTTTCATTGTTCCCCGTATCTTTTGGGAAGCAACCCATTCGATTTCATTTACAGAAATGCTTCCTCACCGTTTTGAAAAAAAAAAAGGCCCACCAAGCTGTTGGAATCCTTTTACGTGGATAACTGTGTTACCAGTGTGGTAAAATTTCGAAGAACTTGAGAAATTTATTGAGGAATCCAAGCTGGTTCTTAGCACTGACAAAACTTCGAACTTCGAGGGTGGGAGCACAGTTATAATAATCAAGACTGTGGAAGACCCTTTGCCGAAAAAATGAAAAGAATATTCTAGTTTAATGCTTACGTGGAACTTAAAAAATGACGCTTTGACAATAGATTTACGATAAAATGTTGAAGACGATACAACTGTGACCAAGAGAAAAATTCTGTCAGCCGTTCATAAAATCTTTGATTCCTTTGACGTCAACTGTCCTGTTACTTTGAGACCAAAAGTCATCCTACAAGAGTGTTGGAAATTGAAAGTGTATATCATAGGATACTGAACTTCCTATCAACATTGCAAAGAAGTTTGAGAAGTGCAGACAG